GTAGAGCAGCCACATGGAGTTCTGTCCATACATCTGCAACACACTATGCCTTGGTACAGGACTCAGCAGTGCATGTCTCCTTTGGCACGGCGGTTCTCCGCATGACCCTTCCATCCCCAACCTTGCACCCTCGTCCAACTTAGGTCCTGCTTGTCAGTCATGCACAATGGAATATAATAGGGACCATCACTCAAAGAAGGAGAGGAGGTTACTTACCTGTAACTGGAGGGTCTTTGAGATGTGTGGTCCCTATCTGTATTCCACTTCTCGCCCTCCTGCCCCTCTGCTTTGGATCTGTCAGATTCACCGTGGAAAAGAAACTGGAGACATGGTCAATTCGCCTCACCCTTTGTCGCCTCAGATGGGAAGCACAAGGTGCATGCATGGACCAATGGACACTACTTTCAAATTCTCCTTCTCTGGGCATACGATGCGCATATGTAACCCTAGTGGAATACAGATAGGGATCACATATCTCAAAGAACATCCAGTTACGATAAGTAACCTCCTCTTTTCCAGTTACTTGCTGCTGTTTTCTATGAAAGAAGCCTGATATTTGTGTTCACCATGGAAAGAACTGTTTGCTGTGCTAGTTTATACTTCCAAAGTACACACAATACCATCTTTAACAGTCAGAACCCAACACCGACAAACCCTATGTAGACCAATTTCCAAGAAAGGCTGTCCTTCCGGGACAGCTGCTGAAATGTGCAAAGATGTATTTGTTTTATAGCATGCTCCTTTTTTAGGGGAATGATACTTGAGAAGGTCCAAGTCAATATCACCTGTCATTAACACTCTTTTCATTGCCCTTTGGGAAAAAACAGAGCATGGTTTTTATAAGAAGTTATTACCTCTTGATAGTCAGCTGACTCCAAATCTTCTCTGGCAATTGTACTAACATAAGCATGATTTCCTTCTAACAACAGGCCATAGATGTTCTGAAACAGCAGGGATTTTATGAATATTTCATGAATAGCTTAAGTTAGAATTTGTAGGATTAAAAAAAGAGGAAACTGGGTCAAATTCGCATGGTTAAGTATCTCACTAGCTTAAAATACTAAACTCTGAAATGTGGCATATTTTAAAAGCTGAAATAAGATGCTCTGTGCTCTACTTGAGCACTTCAGAGAAAAGTAATTTTAATAAGGAAGGTTGTGTGGACCATTCTGGCAGCGTTGTGTGGGTGCCAAGTACACGTTCTGAGCTTGGGAGCAACTTCAGAACATGCTTTCCCTGTTGGGCAAACTCATTTCCTCTGTATAGAATCTCATCATTTCTCTGGGGATCGAGTGTATCACTGGGATACAGTGATGAGTGTTGGGGATACAAAATGCACACTAGATGCTGTATTCTCTGGAGCAATGTTGAGGTTAAAGACAGCACAGGCGCCACCTTCCTCCTTTCCCCAGGGGTGCTCAACCTCTGCTCAGGCCCTGTCTCCACTCCACCCTTTCCCCTAAGGCCCCACCCCTGGCCCGCCTTTTCCTGCCCAGTTGCGTCCCCTCCCCCAAGCGTGCCCCATCCCCTCTCCTCCCAGTGTCTCCTGCACGCTACGGAACAGCTGATTGCGGCGGGCGGGAGGTGCTGGGAGGGAGGGGAAAGAGTTGATTGGCAGGGCCGCTGGCGGGCAGGAGACACTAGAGGGGAGGTGGGGTAGCTGACTGCCAGTGGGTGCTAAGCCCTGGAGTTATTTTTTTTTCTATGGGTGCTCCAGCCCCAAAGCACCCACGAGTCGGCGCCTATGAAAGACAGCTCTGGCATGAAGAGGAGGTGAGGAGCCTTTTTTGTACAAATGGCTATGAGGGCATGTCAGAGGTAAACAGAAAATTAGTAGGCACAAGAAGTGGGCCAAATTAGTCAGAAAGTTAAGGGAACAACCGAACACAGTATGCAGTACCAACGACCATTGGCTATGAGTACTGTACTCCATCACTGCCTAGTCCCATGAGTTTGGATTACCTCGCCAGTCCTGCCACTCATACTGTAATGTCCTCTGTAGCTTTAAGTTCTGGCTCCCACAGCATAATTGTAAGAAATAGTCTCAACTGGAAGGGACTGACCTATGGTGATTTTACTGTCTTGTTATTGAATGGTGCATATCATGATGTTAGTCTAACTAAGAGTTTCCCTAGGCTTCAGAAATTGCTCCTTTCTTGCTTTTGTGGTGTGAGCGATCTGATTTCTCAGCACTCAGTGCACAGTATGATCCAGTGGATAGGGCACGGCACTGGGAATCAGATAACCTGTGTTCTTTAGCTGGCACCGCCACTGATCTGCTGGGTGACCTTGGGCAAGTCACCTCAGCTCAGTCTCCGTCTTTTCCATCTGTAAAATGGAGATAACACTTCCTTTCCTTTGCAAAACATTTTGAAGTCTGTGGAAAACCATAGATGATATTATTCTTATCATTCTCCTACATCAGGCAATGTAAAATATATTCAGATTTTTCAGTTTAATTCCTAAGCATGACTCCTGCAAGATTTCCCCAAGATAAGTTCATCACTTTGAGCATATGCAACCATCTTCTACATAGAATGTGTGTGACTGACCTGGGGAACTTTTGTGTCTGAATTAGATTCCACTTGGAGTAGGGACTATTAGTCTGTACTTGCCAGGCACACTGTCAGCACTCAATAAACAGTAATAATCAGGAATCTGGGGTCGGGAAGGGAAGGTTTCTCACCCCTCCGCTCCCACTCAGAGACTAGTTGGGTGGATGAGGTGAGTGATGACAGATGAAAACATCACAGCTGTATAGTGGCTTTTAAAAAATCTAATTAAACATGGTGTGAAGGGTTCTAGTAACTTAATCTTTGCCCGTTTGAATATTTTGTGAATAGTCTTTTATACCTGCAGTATATAAGCGGCTTCCCTAGGTAGCCTAAATTAGGATTCAGTAGTTCTGCATCCCTGTTTGGCACTTCTTTGTTTTTTCCATCTTGTGTGTCACACACCTCGTTGGAGCTGTAGTTAGCCAATACAACTGTATTCAATGTTTTACCCATGCATTTTTACATGAACATCTCTGTGTACGTGGGTCCAGATTTTAAAGCAATTTAGGCATTGTTGCACTCAGCGTTGCAATACCTAACTGATTTAGGAACTTGCATCTCATTTTCAAAAGGAATTTAGGCACTTAGGAGTGTAGATCCCATTGTTGCGTCGCTGAGTGTAACAACGCCTAAATAACTTAAAAAATCTGGGCCTTTGTGCTTTAGATCCTCTTTTTTATTTTTTATTTTTTTTAAGGAAACGAACAGGTTTGCATTATGGAAAATTTATGGACAATTTTAGATCGAATGCATTTTAATAAGTTAAATGGTTATGCTGTAACAAAACTTGTAATGGTCTATGTGGTCTTTTAGAATATGGATATAACTAAACACAAATGTGTATATATAACCCCTTGTTTAGCACTATTATAGTAAAAGGGCTGTTTTATTTTAATTGTTGGTTTAGTGCTACATTTTAGGTTTTACAAATAAACACAAATCTGAGATAGGCTGTCTCGTATTTTTTCAAAGGCAAGTGGTGGGAAGGCTACGCAGCATAGGGGCCTCTAGAAGGGAAAATCAGTCGAGACTTCCATCAAATTCACTTGATATCTATGTGTTAATCTAGTCCTCCTTATCACAGCTGCCTTTACAAAGCCTCATCTTCCTTGCAGTTCTGCCCTGAGATGGGTTTTACGGATTTAACGAGAGCCAGATTGAGAATTATAATGGATGGCCCACATGGTTGTTACCAACTCAGTTCACTGGCTCAGAATGAAAGATCGCATGATGTTGCTTTGTTAGATTACCCAAGGGGCCCAAAAGTGACTGTTAAAATATTTTTTCCCTTCAAAAAAACCCAAAACAAATCAAAGCTAAAACTGATCTCTGTATGCTTCACTTAAGCATCCATTCTAATTCCATGGGAGATATTTTCTTCTCTGACTGGGCTTTGTGACTTGTCAGAGTATTTTATCTTGAGCAAACCCTAATGTCTACATTCGTACACTGCATTAGTTTTTTAAAAAGGCAATAATGTTAATGACAAAGAACAGAGTCCTAAAAATAAGTAGACTTTCACCCCAGCTCTGTACTTTAACTACAGTCAAATTGTTTTAGCTGCATGCAGCTGACTGTATATATTTTTGTGGCTGACTGAATATATCTTTACCTTTTATTTTAACAGTAGGCTTTTTATAGCATTTAAATCTCTGGTCTTTTTCAGAGGGTGTGCTGTAGCAGGAAGAGGTTTCAAACAGTGTTTGCTCAGATTTGTTTTCAGTAAAGACCCAGGTTGATTTTCATCATTAAAAATGTTGAAAACCACCTGTTCACTGACAGTCAGCAGAGAAAATAGTCTAGTTCTGAGGTTTTCAAACTGTGGGGCACGCCTTCCTGAGGGGATGGAGGAATGTTCGGGGGGGGAGGGGGGCGAGTGGGGATGCCAAGTGTCTCGTGCCAGCACCGTGTGGCGGGGCCCAGGCCAGCTCTCCCAGGGCCCCCTCCTGACTTACCTCAGCGGGCCACCCAGCCTCTGGGTCAGTGTAAACATCTGCCGCGGCCATACCGATTTCTGTGCCCATCAGCCTCTGCGCCCAGCACTCGCTCTGCCCCCAGACCCAGTGGCACATGCCTTTCCCCACCCTGAAAACCTGGGTGGGAGGGGCAGAGGGACAGGTATTGGCCCTGCCCTAGTGGTGCAGCCTGGCTGCAAGGTAGAGGCGGCCCACTGCTGAGGAAGCCTTGGCTGTGCAATTGGTAAGTGTCTGTGTATTTGAAACTTACAGGTGTAGGTAATTTAATTAAAAGTTGGCATCAAGGTCTCTGTTAGGGTTATGAGTAGGCTATCAAGCATACTTTTGCATGTGTCTATTTTTGTCTGGGTTGGGGGGGTGCATCCAAAAATTGTAACTCAAAGAGGGGGCTCAGCTCAAAAAGTTTGCAAACCGCTGATCTAGTTTTTAGTTGTATTAGTTAATTTTATTTGTTTCTCTCTCATTTCAGCTGTGAAGTCAGGTTGGTTACCACCACCACCTGCCCTGCCCCCTAGGCCTTTTGTATCACAGGTATGTACAGAATTTCAGTATGTGGATAATTGGTGTACAGTGGTGATGGTTGTTTTTATACTGTGGTAATAAATACATGCAGGCTTGGATATCTAACCATTCTCATTATAAAGCTAATACTCATCTATAGAATGCTTTACAATGTCAGGCTTTTTGTGTATGGATAACGTTAACTTTGTTTGGTCTGTCTATCCAGTATGCCATGATGTCGTATTATTGACTCCTTCCAGCTCATCGTTGTGGAGCTGGGTATGTCCAGTAGAAAACGTTGTAATTTACAAGCTGTGCCATAAGGCTAGCCTGATGGTAGTGTTTGCTATCTGGAAGGCACAGGTTTGATTCCCAGCCTATTTCTTGCTTCTCAAGCTGTAAATGCTGTCAAGGCGGCAATGCAGGGAGCAAATGCATATCACATTATGATATGTTACATATCAGTGTGAAAAGTCATGCTAAAAGGAAATAAGTCCCACGTTAGCTACATTATTGAGTGGCATGCTGTGATTTACTGACTTTTGGTTCACCAGTGTCACACAACCATTGTGTAAAGCAAATGGATCTAGGGTGACCAGATGAGATGAAGAAAATTTCAGGACACCGGGGGCGGGGGGCCAAAAAAAAAAATAAAAATAAAAAAAAAGCCGAGTGCAAATTGTGTCCCAACCAGAGATCGGTCAGGACACGGGACAAACAGCTAAAAATTGGGACGGTCCCGATTTTATCGGGACGTCTGGTCACCCTAAATGGATCTAATCATGAGCAGTCGTCCCAAGGAAGGTACTATGTGTAGGTTCTTCAGTTCATAAGGAATGATGGATACGCAAAGGCCAGTTAGCTCAGCAAGACCTATCCTAGTGATTGCATCTTCACCTCCTTGTTTGCCACCTCTCTTAATCCTCTTCTATAAAAATGTCTGTCTAGCTGTTTTACTCATTTATACCATTGGCTCCAGTTGGCCTTACATGGCAATTTATTTTATATGTTAATCTTTCAGATGAGATGTAGAACTGAGTCCCTGACCACTGTGGAGCTAACATTCCGACTCCCGGTAAAAAGTGCATTGGCACCTTTGAGTCGACCATCAGCAGTCAGGACTTCAGTTTTAAGTCTCAAATAAAAGTCAGAATCTCCAGCAGCATAGTGCCCCCTAATGGTAGGCTGGGGCATGTGTTCTCTAAAGGGAAGGTGGCCATTTGCTGGGTCACAAACAACAATTCTCTCTCCACCCCCTTCTTCCCTAAATTATCTTTGGAATTTGCTAAATTCTTCATTTGGAGGATTATATAGATTGCTGCCTTAAGCCTTCTTTGATCCAACTACAACCCTAGTGCATCCATCAAAGCTTTGCTTTGCCTAATCTCCTGTAAGTCGTGTCTATTCATCGCACCCCCTTCTACTCTGAATTATTGCTTCCTGCCTCCCTTATATCACTACCATCATCAGCTGTACCCTTTCACTGCATCTCCATCTCCATTGTACCCTTTCACACTCAAAAGTCTTACAGTCACCGCTGTCTGGAAAATAAACAAACGAGCAAAACAAAACCCTTTTCTTGAGGATCAAACCAGTGCTACAGGTAATACTTTTGCTAATTGCTTATTTTCTCAGCATGTGATAGATTTTATTCTCTCTGACCATGCAACAGGAGAGACTCATATGTATTTTCATATCCAGCAGGGTCCTCACCATGTCACAAATACCGAGCCTGTTGCCCAGGCCAAATCCAGCTATGTAGAATTCAGACTAAAGGAACAGGTACGCTCTAAAATTGTAAACTATAATTCCCATGTAAAGTTCCTAATGCTTTCTTCTTTCCCATTACAATACGCTATTCCTTGCAAAATACATAGTGTTGGAGAAACATATGACACTTTACTTTTAAAAATTATCGGGGGTTGGAGGGCGTTACAGCAGGGTTTTAAAAAAAAGATATTTCTACCTTCTCAGAATACTGTTATTTTGACTTCGAATTGAAAAATAATTTTAATAATATTTTAGACCATGTCAGCTGCATCCTTGCTCACATCTTCTGTGCCTAGTCATCAAAATGTGCCTTTAAATGGTCAAGATTGTATATAGAGGATGGGGTTCATAATTCAACTTATCTGATCCTTAATTATAGCAAGCACAGCTATAACAAACATATGGATTACATTACCCAAATGGGGCCCTTGACTTAAAGAGCATGAATAAATTCAAGCGAAGCCAATCTGTTTTCAGAATAGAGACAGGATCAGGAAGAACTGAAGTAAAACATTGAAACTGGCGTGACATACTCGGCTTTTACCTGTTTTAGGACTTATCTTGCTCTTCTTAAATTTCTGTTTCAACTAATTTTCTACAGTGTTATTGGAAATTCTTTTTATTGCCTTAACATTTCAATCTCCATATATAGCTAAGCACCCTGAATCACAGATGTAGTTTGGGAATGAAATGTGTCCCAAGTATTTTAAGGCTGCCCTGCACCACTTGTGCATGCTTATGGTGTGATTATTTTGGCATTGTTTTGTAATCAATTGATGGAGTGTAGGAAGAGGGAAACAATTTATTCTGAAGACCGGAGTTTTCCATGGATGACTGGGAGGCAGCTAGGATTGGTTAGGTGTTTAGAGTATGTGTTCCCTGCACAGTTAACCTGGGTGATTGGCACCCACCTTAGCCTAGTCCAGGGTGAGAGTCCTCACAGGAAAGCCCCACCCACGTTACTGCATCCTCGCTGTTTCTGCATTCACCCATGTGTGTCTGGGAGCATAGCCCATGGTTCTTTGTGTTGAGACTTTCTATGATTCTTTCCAGGTCAGTTGTGGGAGAACTTTGTCCTTCGGGGGAATTGTGGGAAGGGTTTGAGGACTATCCGTACTTGAGTGAGTTAACTGGCATTCTCACTGCAAAGTGAGAGGGTTCCAACCCAAGTGAAAGTGGAGCACAGGTTCTAATCCACACCCCACAGCTGTGTAAACTAGTCTGGGCTTAAAGACTCTCCAGACCTGTCCAGAGGTTTTCCTGTGTAGATGATAGGGGACTGTAGGCTAAACCTAGTAAGAACCCAGTTTAACTGTGCAGTTAAGACATACTCATAGAATGAAATTAAGGGATTCACTGGACTCCAGGTACTGTTGTGCATCAGCAAGTTATGGTAGGATAGAAGTTTAGCAATTATATTTTAATTGGGCAGACGCTCCTGTGCGAGAGTAATCAATAACAATGTAGAAATGGAGCTTTAACTTTGGTCCTGTACTTTTGTAGTTTTCAGAAATTGTTTCAGCTTTTTTGTTAGACTTCCCTCTTCCTGCCAGTACTTCCTAGGCAGCCAACATCACTATATTATTGAAACAACACAGTAATTCATAGCACTAAACACTTCTGGTTTTGTCAGAAATTCATTACACTGTGCCCGCATCCAACCCACCACATTATTTATTGATTTATAGTTCATCTTAGCTAAATGGTGGATAAGCAGGTTTGGGCCATTGGGTGGTTATTGCACACTTAATAGCTTTGGGCAGATATAGCACTGGTATCCTCAACCCTGGTCCTGCTTTCCAGGCAAAGTACCCTGTTTCCTATTAAATAAAACCCATCATGGCTGGATTAAGGCATAGGGTTGCCAGGTGCCTGGTTTTCGACCGGAAAGTCTGGTCGAAAAGGGAACCTGTCCGGGTCCAGTCAGCAGTGCTGACCGGACACTAAAAGTCCAGTTACTTGTAGTAACCGCCTCTGCCGCTGGGGGGAGGGAAGAGCAGCTGCTGCTGCTGGAGCCTGGAGGAGCATTCAGCAACAGCTCCCGCAGAGAGAGGTTCTGGCGGCTCCCTGGTCCTGCCCCGAGCGTTGCTCTCCCTGCCCCGTCCTGCCCCACTCACTCCTCCACCCCCAGAGCATGCCTCTCCCTCCCCCAGCCTGCCCCAGTCACCCCCCCACCTCCGGAGCCTGGCTCTCTCTCCTCCATCTTGCCCCAGTTACTCACCCCCAGAGTCCGGCTCTCTCTCTCCAGCGTCTTGCCCAGTCACACTTCCACCCCTAGAGCCCTGCTCAGCTGGCAGGGGGAGGGTGATGGAAAGAGCAGCGAGCGACGGTGGGATGGAAAGAGGAGTGGGCGGAGGGCCTCGGGGGAAGAGGCGGAGCAGGGGGCGGGGGAAGTTCCGGCACTCAGTGTCCGGTTTTCACAAATTAGAAAGTTGGCCACCCTACATAGGCACCAGAGGCCTATGTCAAGGACCTCTGCTCCTGGAGTCTTGTGATTACATCCGAATCTCGGTTCTTATTTTTTTTTAAAAAAAGGAAAGTTGCTAGATTTCATAGTTGTGAAGAAAATTTTGAAATTGTATGGGCTATGCCCCCCAAATGTAACCGATGCAGAGATGTTTGCCTGAATCTGCAGACAGCTTGAAACAACAGCTCCGAGTGATGTGCACTGTCCCATGCATCAAAATGGCTTGCGGCTCTGGGTGCCCCCGACAAGGCCAACCCAGCAGAGGACTCTGCATGTAGCAGAAGGAGAAGAATGCAGCAGGCCTTGCCCACCAACCAAAGCAGATATACCCTGGTTATTGGGGTAAATATTAGTGGTGGTGTGTGTGGGGGCTGCTGCCACTCATGCCTCTTAGGAGGCAGAGGGGGCCCATCTTGCTTCTTCTCTGGTGTAGAAAGGATCATCATACCGCTGTCGCTGCCTGGGAGGGGAAGGAGGGTTCTGTTATCATCACTTCAACTAGGGAAGGGTGTGGCTGGGCACAGAGCCATGGGGGCAGAGCTCTGGAAGTGTTTGCCAGAGCTGTCGTTAGGGCACTGCATTGCCTTAAACTGGCCTTGTTCCTCAGCCCCTCTCTTGGGCCTAAAGGAGTTGGGAATGTTGTCTTCGGGTGAGCTAATAATGAGGGAAATGGCAGCTGGGTTTGTTCCCCAGGACTCTGTCACTCGTAGCCCTGTAGGTAAATTTGTGGGTGTGCATGCATCCTTGTCATCTATCTATAGAACTTGAGGATGTGGTTGATTAACCATGCATATACTTCTTCTTGAGTTTCCCTGAGGAACTACTGTAACCCGTGTCCTCTGTGATCTTATCTGTTGTCAGAGTCTGCACTGAGTCCAATCCTCATCTGTATCTTTTCACACAATGGACCCCTGTTTCAATATAATTTTCACCAACATTTTTCCTAATGCTCTGAAATCAATCTCAGTGTTCCTGTGGTAACTGCAATAAATAAATTTGCCTTTCATCAGAGCTTAGATACTGTAGTGTAGAGAGGTATCCAAGCTATTGTTTATGGTCTCTTAATCCAGTTTACAATCCACATCTCTGTTTTCCTCTGTAAGCCAATTTGAATTAATTTTTCCTGTAAGATTTTGTGAAACACAGTATCAAATGCTTACTAAAATCCAAATATATTACATCAGCTGCATTACCTTCATTCACTGATATTGTGTTTCTGTATTTTTTAAAGGCAATCCAAGTTTGCCCAAGTCACTGTGAAAGTTTGCTGGAAAGACTTTTTAATAGAAGCAGCAAAGAGTCCTGTGGCACTTTATAGACTAACAGATGTATTGGAGCATGAGCTTTTGTGGGTGAATACCCACTTCGTCGGATGCATTCACCCATGAAAGCTCATGCTCCAATACGTCTGTTAGTCTATAAGGTGCCACAGGACTCTTTGTTGCTTTTACAGATCCAGACTAACACGGCTACCCCCCTGATTTTTAATAGAAGTAGATTTACACAAAGGCTAGTCTTCTGTTTTGGCTAATAAATTATTTTGAAGTATTTTCCATCTACAGATCTAGTGTGTTTCCTTCTAATATTGGGTGTATGTAGTTCCACTGCTATCTTGTATAATACACAGTGGTGGTTTTTGTACATACTCCTGCTGCAACATTTTCTTAGATATAGGAATAAACGTGTTTTTCAAATTTTCCTGTCTACAGCTGATAACTCGAAGGATCAGTAATTAAGGAGGGATGGAATCAGTCTAACTAGATTGTCCAGTATCTACTGCTCTAAGCTCTTTGGGCCTGGGCCTGTCTCTTTGTTCTGTGTTTGTACAGTTCCAAATACAGTGATGTCCAGGTCCAGAACTGGGGCTCTTAGGCAATACAGTAATACAAACAGTTAATAATAACAGAAGGTTAGGGAGACAAGCTGGCCAGTGTATACAAACAAAATACATGTTATTTAGTGGCAGTAGGGATGAAATTATTAATCAACTAAGCAAAATAACAATTTGTAACAATATATATTTACAACTGGAATTGACTTTGAACACACATGAATGAGGTTCCGTTTGAACTGAACTGAGCACATGCACCCAAAGATTAGATAGGGCCCATATTCTTTTATGTAAAACAAAATAATACCTTATTACAGTTGGCTTTTGGGTCTACAGGAGCTGGTTTCAACAGCTGCATAGTGTGGGGGATTTATTAGCACATTAATGTTAATAGGAATTATCGAGGTACACTGAACAGAACATAGGTGTTCAGGGTTTTATCCAGAGTCAGCTAAATAAATGCAGCATATATCACACTTAAATTAGCACTCCTAACTTAAATTGCACTATAGTGGTATCTTCCACTGCATAAATCACTATACATCTCAAGTCCTGCATGTACTACATGAGGGGAGACGTGGAAAATGAGGGACTATATATTTTGGCTGAAAAACCAATTATTCCTAGCCTCCTCTCCCATAGTCTGGTTTACAAAATTGTTGGTTTTGTAAATTGATGCTGATTCTTCTGTAATTTATTTTTGGAAACTTGATT